CTTAATAGTCTCTATCTTTTAATAGAGCTCTAATATCTATTGCGCGTATTAATTTTCTTACTTAGCTAAGTTAGCAAAAAGTACTTTATTACTAGCTTTTAACGCAGCTAAGTCTACTTAAATTATATTTAGCTAATATAAGATTAGCTATAATACGTTAAGTTATTTATAAGTAGTTATAGTAAGTAATATAATATAATATTATAAAACGCTATAAGTACGTAGTTTAAAAGCTTACTAAAAGCGTTAACTATAACGTAGTTTACAAGCGAGTAACGCACCTAAGCAAGTAACGCACTTTTGCTAAGACCTTACTAAACTTTAATTAAGTTGTAATGCCTTAACGCAACAGCGTAAAAACAATCTCAAACAAAGTAGATATACAGCTTGCGATACAGGCTATCTAAAGAGACGCGTTACTAACAACGCGACGCGCTAGAGCTATCTATAGCGTCTCTAAAGCAACACTACGAAGGCGACTCGCTAGGACGCCTTAACAACGCGATTGCGCGCCTAACTTAATAGCTTTTCGAGGATCTAAAGAGATAGCAATTGTTAAACATGTTCTTAAGCTAGTAGAGCAAGGATATCCGCCTAGGCTTGCTAATATTAAAGAGATAGCTAGTTCTTTACTTAAGATCCGCAATTAGAAGCTAGTTAGTAAGAACTAGGCTGCAAACTTTGTAAATTGTCGTTCTAAGCTTAAAACTAAGTTTAATTAAAAGTACAACTATAGTAGAGCCCTCTGCGAAGATCCTAAGGTTATTTAAGGCTAGTTCCGCCTAGTATAGAATACAAAAGCAAAGTACAGCATCTAAGACGAAAACACGTACAACTTTAATAAGACTAGCTTTATAATAGGCGTAATATTAACTAGCTTAGTAGTTACAGCAGCAGACTGTTAAGGACAGCCTAAAACTATTTAGCAAGGCAACTAGGAGTAGGTTACAGCTATCTAAGGTATAGACGCGACAAGGTAGGCGATTCTACTCTTTATTATCTTCTAAGGCAAGCACTACCTCTCTACTTAGTACAAAGAGGAAAACCTACCTTAAGACTAAGTAATTGCAGTCTCTAAGAATAGCTAGACAACAAATAAGCTTAGTATTAAGTAGTTAGAGCACTTTAACAGGCATACAAAAGAGAGAGTTATTAGCAGTCACCGCCTGCTAGTTCTTAACAGTCACGAGAGCTACAGCTTAATTAATTTCTACTAGCTCTGCGAGGAGAAGAAGATAATCACCCTCTATATACCTCTACACTCCTCGCACTTGCTGCAGCCGCTTAACGTTAGCTGTTTTGCGCTGCTAAAGAAGGCGTATAGGTGCTAAGCTAAGAAGCTAATGCGTAATAAGATTACTTATATCACTAAAATAGAGTTCTTGCTGTGCTTTATTACCGCTTAAAACGTCTTAATTACAAAGAGCAATATCCTAAGAGGCTTCTAAGGCGCTAGCTTAGTTCTATTTAATTTAGACGCTGTTATATTAATACTCGACGTCTGCTTACGTACTCTACTGTTACTTACTGTCGAGGACAGTCCCTAGCAGTCGCAAACTCTAAGCAATACCCTAGAGTTAAAGTCTTAAACAAAGCTAGTTCTTAAGAGGTTTTAGAGGCATGTAGACAGCTTACCTACTTCGATAGTTAAGGCGGTAAAAAGCCTCTCTAAAGGCGCAGAGATAATAGCGCATGCTTTAGTGTTGTCGCAAAAGCGTATCGCTAAGCTTAAAGCAGCTAACAAGGCCGCTACGCAACGTAAATTATATAAAAGAAAGCGAGTATAGAAGGAGGGAACCTTTACAGTAGAAGAAGGTCTTTAACTTACAACTCTAAAGGAGTTTAGAGCGCGCAGCGATAGGAAGAAAGCGAAGAAAAGAGTGCGCGTTAAGGTAGGCGAACCGTCGCAAAGACGCTGTAGACGCTGCGGCAAGGCTAGTCACAACTTGCGCACATGCAAGCAAGATATAGTAGTAGATTCTAAGTAGAATAGTCTATTACAATTTCTAATTACAGTTCTATACAGTGCTGCACTGTCGTGCGCAGTTGTAGTTTTAGTAAGGTCTTAGCAAAAGTGCGTTACTTGCTTAAGTGCGTTACTCGCTTGTAAACTACGTTAGCTATATATAATATCTAGTATAATACTATTACAAGACGCTATAAGTACGTAGTTTAAGAGCTTGCTAGAAGTGTTAACTATAGCTACGTATAATATCTAGTGTAATATAAGACATTGCGTAAGGAAACAAAACTAGCATGTACAAGCAGTAAAAAGTTATTAATAAAGAGCTGTGCGCGTAGCGCTTAGCTTAGCTAGCTAATTAGCAGAATCTAAGTGCTTAGCTAAGCACTTAGATTCTATAGCGCGTTTAGTGTTAAAGGAACTATAGTAGTTACTATAACAAATACAAAATATTACGTAAAGAAATAGAACTAGTATATATAGGCAGTAAAAAGTTATTAACAAAAAGCTATGCGCGTAGCGCTTAGCTTAGCTAGCTAATTAGCTGTAGCGCGTTTAGTGTTAAGAGAACTATAGTAGTTACTATAATAGTAAGCTACTAAGAACTCTTTAGAGCACTATTAGCCTACACTAGCTATAGTTACGTAACGTAGATATATATTATTTCTCTAGGAGGCTTAATAGCTCTTTAAAGATTTGTGTTAATATAAGCTTATACTTATATCTTAGTGCCTGCCTAATTACTCCTTACACTAGCAGATAATCTACGTAACTATGTAAGGTGCCCTAGGCTTACAAAGAGACATGTATCCTAGGAGGTTGATTCCCTTAAAGAGTACTAACGATACTGACTAAGGCGGGCTAGGCTAGGCTAGGAGGGGAAGGTCGTCGAGCGCGGGGAGTACGGCGTTAGGGGCGCGGTAGAAGTAGTCTCAGGTGTGCGGCGATTGCTGTGGGTTGTTGGCGTGGGCCTAGTCTGCCAACAAGTTCAGGAGCCCTGCCTCGAACTCGCGCACCAGCTCTTCGAACCCGCGCATCACAGAGCCTTGTCGTGGTTTATTGTTGCCAAAGTGGGCATCAACCGCCGTTCCACGCAGCGCATACGAGCGATAGGAAATAATGTTTAACACGCACTCCCTTACTGCTATTAACCGCTAATATATAGAGACATCTAAGGTTAATATTAATAGCTCTCTTTTCTTAATAAGCGTATTCGTTTTACGTTGCCTTGAAAGCACAGAAATGCGGAAGATTCTAGTAAAGTGTTTACTAATCCCTGCTACTAGGCCGTCTTTTTTCAATCCGCTATTACAGTTGCCCCTCTAGTCGCTACTTCCACCACCGCTTCTCACGTTAGCCCGGTTCACCCTGATTCTTCGGCCATCCAATCTGTAAAAGTTAGCTCAGTTTAGCTAATAACAGTCGAATTACGTTAAAACAGGCGCAATCCTGCTTCGTGCCAGGGATGTAAATGTTAGAGCAGGATTTACGCACTCTTGGTCGTTCATGGACAATACAGCAGTCTCCACCTCAGTAGAACTCTCAAAAGTGACGAAACCAAAGCCCCTGCTGCGGCCAGTATCACGGTCCCTCATGACAATCTAATGAGGTGTGAGCGCGCTAATAATAATAGTAATGTAACCGTACACTTAAGGGCGAACTCACAGCATCAACGACATTGCCATATTCCGCAAAAGCATAGCGTAAGCTGTCATCAGTGGTACTCCACCCAAGGTTTCTGCAAAGGGTTAGGCGCAGTCGCGCTCGTAGCAGTTAGACTTACCCAACATAAATCTTTAATGACATAATGTAGATGTCTAGATTAAACACTGAAGACGCAACAAGAGCAACACAGTAAGTTAAGAGACGTAATAACAGGAGATAGAAGAGGAAGAGAAAGCTAGGGACAGCGAGGATGATATAGCGGGCGCTTTAATGGCGTAGCATATAGTGACGTAATAGCAGCTATCAAGACGGAGATAGTGACATGTTGAGACTTGGACTGACCAATGATCTGGGCAGTTTCTATGCAAACCAGGGCAAGCTAGACAGGGGTGAACAGATCTTGATCATCTGGCAACACTCAGTACACTTAGCTGCTTGGGCATACTTTACGCCAGTCAAGGCAAGCAGGACGAGTCGGAGGAGATGTACAAGCGGTTGCTAGAAGGATCCGAGAGATGATTCGGCTCAGATCATCCTCGTTGTCATGGTATTCGTTACACTCTTGCCATACTCGGTGATCGTGTCGCAACTTGGTGAATAGCTAGTGTTTAGAATCAAATCCTCTATTTTCCCTTACAGTAGAGTGTCGGTGTGGTTTTTGGAACGACCTGAGCTGGCGTCGCTCGTTCCGCTACACGACCTGTCGGGACGATACGATAAGACGCAAAAGCAATGAGCGCTTGACCAAGCCGCCCTGTGTCGCAAACATCGATAAAGGTCAAGACTAGACACAACCAACCCTTGCCCTCTTTAGACAACAGTAAACAACACAACCTTGGACAGCAAGAGTAAGGCAGCTGCAACCCAAATCAAATCAACCAGGTCGATTTCAAGTACATGGCAGGAGATGCCACGTCAACTTTTATCATCACTACTTTGCATCTTACATGATCATTAGGTATCGACAGCATCAGAACGAGTTGCAACAGCAAGCTCGCTCCAAACTCGACAGCGTGGAGATGAGACCAGTTCAGTCGAGGCTTGCGCTTCGACTCGGCGGCTATGGCTTCCTTCATAGAGAGCCAGTGTCGGCTGGGGTAGGGAAGCAAGGGAAGGAGCTTAGATGAAGCAAAGTAAGAGCCAAGACAGAAAGGGAGGAATACCTGAGATGAAGCAAAACACGGAGCCAGGACAAAGCGGGCAAAGAGCGAAGTATAGACAAGGGAACGGCCTGAGACAAAGCAAAAAAGGGAGCACGTGCAGGCTTAGGAGGCAAACTGAACAAGGACTTCGACAGCGCATCGACCCGCCGTTAACCTGTATTATCTCATGGTTAGTGTTATCGCTAAAGGGGGCAATGGGCTTTGACGATGATGCATCCAGTATGCTTTAGCGTGAGTATAGGGTAAAGCCTTTTTCTTGCTTTTTCCGCTTGCTTTTTCGTTGCGCTTTCCTCCCTCTTTTCTTCTTGCTTTCTTTATTCTCCCTTCTTCTTTCTTGTTTTTTCTGGGGGTTTCAAGAAGACCGGACTTATCAGCTCAATGCCAAGATCTGCTCACCGATCGTTAAGGTTCGTTGTGAGATGATTGGTCGAGGCTTCATCGGATGAACGTCCATGTACGATTGCATATCACTAAGTTGGCGAAAAACAGGCTGTGCATTACAAACTAATGTATGCGTACTGATAACTAGCTACAAATGTTTTGATGTTCTGCTTACCGTGCCGGACGGTCATGTGCCTCGGACGGCTACATGCCCGATCCGCCCCACCAAAACCACCGCAAAGATGAGGCTGTCAAGTCGCACTAAGTAGCTATTATTGCAAAAGCTTTTTGTGTTGCGATCAAGAGATAGTATTGCGATATTCTATCTACTTATATTTGGCTGGCAACTTAATATCGCGCCCACGTCGCGATCAAATCGGTGGTGGGCTCGTTGGGTGAGTAGATAGCTGCGCACCACCACCACGATCACTAACGATAGATTTTTTTAGTGTGAACTTTGTACAAGCTTTAAAGTTCTTCTTTTTGCCCTTTTAGGAAGTTTTAATAGCTTGTTGAAGGCGTTTTGCTGCTTTGCGGGCTGCTTAATAAGCTGCTCGCTCGGCGGCTTCATCCGCTCTCTTCTTCTCCCTTAGTAGCTTCGCCTCCGCTCGCGCCCGACGCCTCGCATCAATCTCCCGCGCTTTAATTAGCTTTGACTCCTCCCGAGCCTGGATCGCGGCAGCTTTTTGTTGTTGTAGCTGCTCAGTATCGCGATCTTTCTGCTCCTGGACGCTACGAGCTTCTCTCACCTTCCGCGTGGACCAGAAAACCGCTCCACCATAGTACCCTTCGGATCGCTCGAGTGGTCTACGCCGAGATCGCTGCTTGCGCTGCCTCTCCTCAATTAAGGCTTCTCGCAACTTCTTATTCTCTTGCTCAACAAGCGATGATCGGATGTATAGCTTGAGGATAGTTCGATTAAGGTGCGAGATCCTCCTGCTCTCTTTATGGTTGACCGCACGATCTACTAGCTGCCTGATCTTTCTCCAATCAGACGCACTAAAGTTAGAGGACTCGCTATCGCTCTCACGGACTGCAGTTCGAAACTTCTGGAGTATTATCTCTGGATTGAATGGCTGGCTGACACAGCTTACGGCGCTGGATCGCATACTCGTCCAATCCGTGTCTGCTTTATGAACCTTGCGACTGCATGTCTTGCGACTGACTATGAGTTAAGCTGCATGGTTCGTTGTGGCGTATGAGTATTTATTCGATGAAACCTAGGATAACAATGCATCAAGACAGGCGCGAGCAGAGAAGGGTGACGTAAGGACGAGAGAGAAAGACTCGCAATGTGACGGCCAGTTTGTACACTTCATCTACGCTAGCACTGGTCTCCGCGTTGTGTGTGTAGCTGTTGGCGTGGCACGCCCGTCGCTTTGATCACCAACAGTCAGCGAACCCGTTGTCACAACATCTAATATGCCTCCAAACCCACTTGCTGGCTTCTTTTACAATGCCATGACCAACATCTTCCCTAGTGTATCTGGAGTCGGTGTTTGAACCATGCATGAGACAGATGTCTTATACTTGTACCCTAATTTTAGCGGTAGAGACATGGCTGAGTGGGGTGCAGATCATAAGGCGACCCTGATCACAGGGCATTGGTCACTGCTACTGTGTCTAACCCGCCATAAGTTGCCAATGCAGTCAGTCTCATCTACAGACATGGCTGCTGCTCTTCGTGGGGATATGACGTTTAGTCCGATGACCGTCATCAGGGTATACACAGTGCGCTTATTGAGAAATCTTGCCCACAGACGCTAAGTGCGTGTTCATCGGTACTGAAAAGACTCGGAAAGGGGATGGTAGCAAGTTTCTAGTGTGATGTCACCGATGGCTTCACGAGTACGATATATATCCCCTGGGTTGTGAAATTCGCCTGAACAAGGCAGGAGAAGTTACGTAGACAACAAGCGAGATGTATTGGTCGGTTATAGGAACAGCGATTGCGGTATTCGATGTTGGTAAGGGCTATTGTCTCATGGAAAGTGTAGATTGTGGTAGTCGTGTCATCGTGCATAACGCTGGGCGAAAGAGCGCTCTGCACAACTCAGATGATGCACATTCGGCTAATGATTAGGTCTAAGCCTAGTTCATATATTGTGGTAGTCTCAAACAACGACCACTGCCATCAAGCGAAGTCATCTCACAACTCCAGCTAAGCGATCTGCAGTATCTGGATGTGCTGGTCAACTGATACATGAACGATCCTGGACGGGTGCTCGCCAGTGGTCCGAAATAGCAGTTGCCAAGGTTGAGAGCGTACAAGGTGGAGGTGAACTACTTTGGTCTAGACGAGATGCTACCGTCGCATTCATGGAATAGGCTTATAGTCTTTAGGTGTGACAATGGGCGGGGGCAGGTATGGAGTGATACGTGGTAAGAGTAGATGCAGCGATGCCGCGCGGAAAGAATACCATCGTTACGACTCATTCGTACAGTCTTGTTCACTGTTATTCCCGATTATCGTGATGATGCTTTGAGCGACTGGGATGTGCGACATACAATGCTGTTAACATGCGCAGAATTTATAAAGGTGTACGGATGAGGATCGAAGAAGTCAGGTTCCACACACCCCACAAAAGCCACCCGCCGCGGCGCACGGACTGATGGTGACGTACCACGACATCGTGTTTGCCATGCATCACGTAGCGCAACAACTCCATGTACTCATCGTATCTAGATCACCAATCATCCTCTCCGCCATCTCCAGTCGATTCCTGCAACGCTATCTCCATTGTACCGCCATAGACGATCCTCGTGCACCTACCGTCAAAGTCGCCTCCTCAACCTTGCAACACATCATCCGATATCGCAACATCGCCATCATCACGCAAGACCATCCACCACCTAAAACAGCAGGTACTTGACGGACCCAAGATACGCGACTGGGCACTCCATCGTACATGGCTCTCGTATTCGTTGCTTGATTACGCCAATCTACCCCGGACTTATTGCGACTAGGCGAAGGTGGGAAGGTGTCACCACGGGACGTTGCCGAGAAAAGTGGCGTTTGAACAGCAGACATCTTGGAGACGCGACAAAAGAGTTGGAAACTCAGCCGTGATAGATTCTGATTCCTTCCCTTGTTGCAGCGGCTTGCATTCAATAGGCGCCTGTGCCAGAAAGAACACGACATAAGCTTTTTGCCACCCGGATTGCATACTTGGATAGACGATCCATTCCCCCAAACAGGGACTGAGTGTAGACATTCATAAAGAGCTCGTCACATAAAGGCGCAACCAAATGGAGACAAGATCTCCCGAAACCCCAAGCGAAACATCACAGACAACCATTCCGCCGTTGCTGAACCTGCCTTCGGAGTTACTCCATGATGTACTCCGCTACCTCCATCTCTCCGATCTTCTTACAGTGGGCATGGTCAGCAAATCCTTGCGCCAGCACACTCTCCAGGATATACTTTGGCAAACATTTGTACAAGCAGAAGTCCCCGCCATTACCAAACCCGCACACCTGACATGGCGCGACCTCTTCCAGCAACACCACCCATATTGGTTCATCGCCAGGCGAAAGATCTGGTTCGCCGACACCGCGCACACGGGCAAGCTCCTCATCGCACGCTACGACCACCGCCTCGACGCAATCGAAGCTTACGCCCTTGTAGCCGAACGCGGCGTTCCGTCTGCACTATCGTGGGAGCAGCACCCGGAAGCCATAATCCACACCTTTAACCCAAAGATACGCCTTGACCTCAACGCGCCTATTGTCCGACTAAACAAAGATGCCTACGAAGAAGCCATTGGACCCATCGGCTATCGTCTCCAGAAGGAAATTCGAATGAGCCTCTACCGCGACCGGCAACAGCAAGCCGCGAGTCTGTTCTCGCAACTCATGCTCACGCGCCCCTGGCCCCAAGCCATCACGGGCGATGCAACACCTGTATGGCCACCTCTCACTTTGCCCAGTCAAGACCGCACACGCAACGACACTTCGCCATCCGGCTTTCGCCAACCAGGCCAGAAACCCGCTACCTTGACCCAGCTGTCCACATCCACATTTCGCATCCGCCGGTGGATGGAGTTCTCCACACGCGCACTCGGCCTGGGTATGCGCATCGGCGAGGACGTGACGACGTGGGCCACGCTACCTGAAGAATGCTACACGCCGACCAAGCAGAAACCGTGGCAGGGCATCTGGTGCGGCGATTACGCAGGCCACGGCTGCGAGTTTCTCGTCATCATGCAGCCAGATGAGGCGGATGCAAAGCCGCTGCCAGAACGGGCCTTGTGGGCAATGAGGGCGAGGGAACGAGAGGGCAGTGTTTCTAGTGAAGGGAGTTGGACCACGGCGCCTACAGATGTTGCGTCCGAGGATGGCGAGGGCAGTGTCTCAGCAATGGAGACTGCAGATGACCTGGAAGATAGCGTTGCTACGTTGCAGGAAGCGTTTCATATCAGCCAGGGTAGTGGACCGGAACACACCGCTAGCACTGGACAAGAAGAAGACCCGGACGTATATCGTGGTCGCATCGAAGCTGTCAAGCTGACAGGCGATCCAAATATTCCACGCGGAGAATTTACCTTTATAGCACCCGATATTGGACCTAATGGCTTGATCCGCGTCGCCAAAGAGGAGATCTTCAAGGGCGCGAGGATTGTGAGAAGTGTTGGGCATATCGCTGCTACAGGCTTCAGGAACGGTACGTTTCCATGTATCCATTGTGATTATTCTGGAACGCGATTTGCTCATTTCGTCTAGACAATTACATGACGAGTCAACTCATCCTCATCTCGCATGACCGGTTGGCGCAGTATTGGGAAACCTTTGGGCATGTTTCTTTCTATCAACGAGTCGATGTCGAGGCTCTTACTAGGATATGATTAACAGCGGAGCAAGATTTTGGATTGGAGTGACGAAGTTGGTGGAACTGGTTGGAGTATATGGAGTATTCGTCTAATTGCACATCACATATCTCATCTGGTCGGTATTTAACTGCATGGGATTTGTGAATCGTCATTCTGGACCAGTCTCAGGGCACCCAAACAGCACCCGCGAGCAGCCTTGATCAATTTTCGACAGTCATAGGTCTACAACCTCTTGCAGATATCCTCGATAATCTCCTCCGTCTTGGCTTTGCCACCCATATCCGGGCTCAGTAGCTTTGCCTCCTCGAGGTTGGCGTCCACTGCCTTGTATACAGCCGCCGCCGCCTCTTCCTCACCAATGAACTCCAGCATCAACGCCGTAGACCGGATCGTCGCAATAGGGTTCGCGATGCCCTGGCCCTCGATATCTGGTGCGGAACCGTGGCATGGCTCTCCGATGACGAAGTCCTTGCCAACGTTCGCAGAGGGAACCAGGCCGAGTGAGCCAACAAGGGCCGCCGCGCCGTCGGAGAGAATGTCACCATATAGGTTGGGCGCAACGATGACGTCGTAGTCCTGAGGCTGGCGGAAGAGCTTGTACACCATGGAGTCTACGATCTGCTCTTCTACACCGACGAGACCGTACTTAGCGTCTTGGAGTGCGCGGCGGGCTGTCTCGCGGAAGAGGCCGTCGGTTTGCGAAAGCACGTTCGACTTGTGTGTGATGGTTACGAGCGGCGAGTTGTGAATGGAGCTTGCACCCGCATCGCGGACGCGCTGACGGCGGAGCGCAATGTCGCCGGCCATGGCACTAATGTTGAAGGATGCTGTTTCCGAGATGCGCTTGATCGCCTCTGCTATCTTGGAGCCGTCGGGCGCCGCGTACGTCTTTTCTTCTTTGACGTAAAGATCCTCGGTGTTCTCCCTCACAATCACCAGGTCTACACTCCTCGCTGCGCCCCTCACACTCTTCACAGGACGGACGTTGGCGTACAGGCCCATGCGCTTTCTCAGTGCGACGATTGGGCTGGAGTAGCCCTTGGTTTGCACAGTGGGCGAGCTGACGGCTCCGAAGAGGGCGCCATCGCAGTCGGACTTGAGTGCCTCAACCGTCTTGTCGGGCAGGGCGGCGCCCGTCTTCTGGAACGTTTCCCAGCCAGCCTCGTGGTGCGAGAAGGAGAACTTGAGCCCGAACGAGGAAGGCAGGGCTTCGAGGATGCGGCGGCCCGCGGGGATTACTTCGCGGCCGATGCCGTCGCCTGGGATGAGGCCTAAGGGGCATTAGTCGACGACCTCAAATACGTTTTGCGCCGTCATCGTGCAATTGACTGCCTTACCTATCCTCAAAGTGCGTGCGGCCATGTTGAAGCTGTGATGCGGTGCGGGTTGCTCAGCCCTGGAATTTTTGGTGTTGCCGCAGCTTACGCCGAACTTCGGAGGTCCGAGCTTCCTCTGCCGCGGAATGCTAACGGTCTGTAGCCCACAGGGACCAAAGACAATCGACAGTCATAGCAAATATCAAATGACTAAGTCTACTACTGCACTTGCTGATCTATCGTCACGTCAATGCCGACCTCGTTACTCCTTACCCTGGAAAACACCCGTAACGATGCCGCGCGCCATTCCATTCCCTTTCCCGAATCACTAACTCTAACTCCGACCTTCAGCTAACAACCCACCTTGTCCTAATCCAAATCCTCATTCTTCTCTTCCTTCTTCTCACTTCCATGTACTTGCTCAAACTTTTCCCTGGGATCCTCCGCACCTTCTTCCCTCGCCTGGTCGGTAGGCAGCAGCTCGATCACTACAACAAAGAGCTCTTGGTTGGTTTCCCGGTTTTTGAGCACATATCTGAGTGTGTGCGATCTGATTAGTATAATTGATCAAGTCAGCTCCATATCCCACGGTCCAAAGAAAGGTGTATGTGTAAGTAGCGATGGCATGCTCAGCAAAACAAGAGGATGGAGAACAAAGAACGTTGTAACGTACCGCAGGGGCTGCCCATCCCAATGCCCGATCATACTGATGTTAGGCAACCCATACCCGATCTTCAGCGCAAACTCATTGAAGTCAAGGTATGGATTGAAGAAGTCGCACTTGTATTCCCTCCCCGCCTCGAACACGAAATCCTTTCGATTTTGCTCCGTGAGGAAGAACTTTTGCCTCGCTCCAGATTTATCCGGTACACGCTTTTCTTTCCTGACTTCGACTCCGTCGCCGTCTGCACCCTCCTCGTAGACGATAGCCTCACCATCTGATCCAGGCACTTCAACATCCCCCTGCGTCTGCGCTTCGCCCTCTAGGTCGTCCCCACTAGGCTTATCTCCTTCTGCCTTGCTGCCAATCCTGAACACGTTTATAGAAGATAACAGCGCGCCGTATAGGTACGGCTCGTCGGCGTATACGTCGCCATCGAGACCCGGATCGATCCACCACTTGACTATTCCAAACGCCTTGTCAAACAACGGGGGTAGGCGATCGCGTATTGGGTGATCAAAGTCGTTTCCGAAGACGAGTTTGTCGCCCGCGATGTCTTGTTTAGGGGTGAAGGAGAAGGAGATCGAGTAGCGGTCGTATGGGTGTTGGGGAGTCGAGAAGTAAGGAGACGTTTTCGGGGAGCCTTCAGGTAAGCCTGAGGATGTGTTGTTAGTAGGAGCGCATGGTAATGGGAGGGGGAGATGAAGGCGGTTGCCGGTCGGCTCAGAAGGGAGGCAGGCAAAACCTCCACCATCGGTGGGTGGGGGTAGGCCAGAGCGCGCAACGTACCTCGGTAGTCTTTGATGCGCATATGTATTCTCGCGTCGATCAGATCGGAGGATACGTCCACCGGCTTCTCGCTGTTTACAAGTACATCTTGATGTTTCGAGGTGTCGTATGTTGCGCCTGCTGTTACGTGCAATATGTACTGCTCGTGGGTCGCCATGCTGGCTCGGAAACGGTTCTCAAAGTGCGTTGACGAGGTCTTCGGCGGAAGCGGTTGCAGTGTTTCAAGTTTGGGTCGAGTCGTTGTAATAGTCCTTCGGTATCGATCGCATGCGCTGTTGGCCTGCAGAACCCGAAATTTGGTGATGGGCGATGACGTTCCGAAGCCGCGGAGGCAGGGATATGGGCGCTAGAGCTCATCAGGCAAAGCGTGATCTGCCATGCGGTGGCGGTCTATGCTGTGATGGAGGGGTAAGCATTGTCATGAACTTATGTGACTTGTGCTACATGCTGGGTGAGCGAAACATCGGCAAAGTGCCCTGAATTAATCTCTTGTACCACTCAGACTACAGCTGACACCTTCCCAAGGCGGCTTAACCACGACCCCTCAACAAACCGCCACATCAACTAACTGTGCATACTTTGTAAACTCATGATCCGCCGCCAGCATCTCCCTCTCCTCTGGAAACGTCCCCATAACTAACTCCACACCCCCATCGCTCTTGAGCGGAAACACAACCAAAAATCTAAACCTCCCGTTTCCGCGCTCTAGCTGCGGCCTCATACTCTCTGGACTCCCCTCATTACTAAAGTAGGTGCTGCCAAAATTGATCTCTTTCGTCTCAAAGAGAATCATGTTTGAGATCATGGCATGCATGTGGTCGAGACCCATATTCGCGGTTGAGAAGCGTGAGTGGTTGGGGAGGGATTGGAGAAGAGTGAATGCGTCGTGAACAAGCCCTGGTGTCATGCGTGCAGCGGATGTGCGAAGTACTTGTGCTATGTGTGCGAGACTTGTCGTTGGGGCGCAGAGTTCTTCTAATGGCATGCTTGTCCGGTTTAGGGTGAGTAGGCTGCCCATGTATGATGTAGGTAGCAGAGAGGAGAAGTAAGGGCGCCCGTCTGTTGGCAACTCCAGGATAGAGTGGTCATCAGGTTTGAAATCTCGGCCATCAGCTTTGGCTACGGCATATCGTGCACGGAGGGCTGAGCGCCAAAAGAAGGCTTGGATGATGTCGCTGATCGATATGATGGTCCTGCTGGCTTCAGGATTGCGCAGGACGTTCGTTTTGAGTGCCTCGACCTTCTCAGGTGGGATGAGGAATAGAGTAGTGTCCATCTTCCGCTCTGCACAGGGTAATGGCCATACTGAGTGCAGCGGGTAGCTTAGTGGCCAGCCCAGAGGTTCTGATCGTTTTGAAGCATGCCTTTCGAGAATATCAGCTGACGGGATAAAGGGTAGCATACCCCAAACATCGAGATCGACCTCTTCTACTGGACGCCCGTATCCCTCCAGCTCATGCAGAAGCTCTGGAAGGCTGTGATTGAAGCTCTCTGCGTCGTACCATGAACAAGTTGCTGAGGTGTCGCCTTGCAGATACCTGCAATTCTCAGCCCATGCTTTTATCGCGATGATAGCCCCCACACCATCCAAACAGCAGTGGTTCAGATCAACAGCAAGAATGCAACCACCTCTGATAAAATTGGCCTGCGCAACGAGTATATCCGCGGGCAGCTGCGGGAAAGTATCTTGTCGCAGAACCAGCTCGTCTTTGAAGGCTGATGGCACAAATCCATTGCCTCGCAGGTCCTCGAATGCCGGAAGCACATCGGATAGGTCCTTGTAGACTAAACGATCACGAGCCGGTTGGCCGAAGGGTGGTACAGTTACGCAGAGATTGCCTTGAGTGTATCCGATCTCGTCTTTGGAGCATGTCATCATCTTGCCGCCTAATGCTGGTATGAGCTCAAATGTTCGATTGAGTCCTGCTTGCATGTTTGCGAATGTCTCTTCGAATGTAACGCCCTCTTGGAGGGGGAAGTAGAACACCAGCCCCATGTAATGGTTCGGGTTGACGTAGTCGAAGGGGTTCAATCGAAAAGACTGCCATGTTTTTCGCTGCGCAATCATGCGCTGCATGTTCGCGTCTCGATCGCTTACAATAGGCTTCATATTACCAGCATCTTGCGCTTGAGCAATCATTGGCTGGAGAGCAGCAGTGAAGCTGGCCAAAGTGGGTTTGGCATAGAGATGGCGAGGTGCAAGTTTGTCTAGACACTTGATCGCTGCTCGGATGGTATTGATAGCGGCTGATACCCCTAATGAATCGAGACCGAGCTCGAATAGGTCATCATCTGGAGAAGCAGATTGGATTGCTGGGAGCGATGAAGCAAGAATCTCACGCACTGACTTCTGCATTGTCGATGCAGAGCTGATATCGAAAACGAAAGAAGTCTCAGTACTGCGAGCGCGGTAGAATCGCTCGATGTAGTCTTCGTAAAGCAGTAAGGTAGCTCGTCGCTTGACCGTCCCTTTGTCTGTTCGAACGAAGGGTTTGTCTGGCTGTGTAAAGCAGACATAGTCACGGGATAGACGTACGGTTTGTCGTGAGGACAGGATGCTTTCCTCAATCTTAGCCCATATACTCTGCATTATGTCGTCGGTCTTGGCTACTTGGTCCTTCAACTCGATGAGAAGACCAGCCTGCAGCTTTTTGCTGCCTATGACGAGACATCCGTCAATTGCGGGATGAGTACTGACGAGTGCTTCAAACTCCAAAGGCAGAATCTTGTACCCAGTAGAAAGAACAATGAGATCGTCGTTACGACCAGTAAAAGCCCAGAGATTGGGCTTGGTTGGATGCCGCTTATACAGATCCTTGAAGTTGATGGAGTCCTTGTCTGGAAATGTGTGGAAGATACCCTGGAACAGCGATGCATTTTCGTTCCGGTGGACCCAGTGCTCGTAGATACCCGGCTCCACTTCCTTAAACTCGAACCCAGAGTAAGGATGGAAAGCGAACCAGAACCAGTCCTCTCTCTTCACGACGAGATTACCGATAAAAAGACCCTCTGTTGTTCCGGTCAGGTTTAGCACTCTGACAACATGGTTGACTTTGCCAGCGCTGATAGGGCTGACCGGCCCACCTGACGCACAGATGAACTTAGAAGACTGGAATTTGGCTAAAACATCAGGCGTCTCTCCTAGCTCATCGACAAGCGATGGTACCATGCTCCAGATGTCGATCTTGGCATGATCGGCAAGAGTCTCTAGGAGTGAGATATTGGGGATGGTGCTCTCAGGACCTAATACGCAGTTCAGTTCGAAAAGGGCTGGCAAGAGTATATCCATGATGATTCCAGCACCGTGGCACATAGGAAAAGAGGAGTAAATCCGGTCTCCCTCTTTCCAGTCCGACGTCCACGGCACTAATCCATCGTCGCCATCAACATGTGGAAGTAAGCGTATTGCATCCATCGTGCCGATCAATCCGTGAGTCCACGGGATCGGTTTTGGTACGCCCGTCGAACCGGAGGTGTGAAGATAACAGAAAGGGTCTGTAGCAGCTGCGGCAAAAGCCTTGATGTAAGGGTAGTATTCGACATCTTCCGCATCCAGAAGCTCGTCGAGTAATGGTAGCTCGAGCAACTTCATCGGGCGTTTCTCTAGGATGTCCTCTACAAGAGGAGCTGCTTCCACTTCGCGTGCCTTAGCCCAGATATCACACTCTGTTGCTTTTAGCACAGATAAGGCACCCTCCGTGCTGTTCTTGGGCGAAAGATAGAGCGCAGCGTAGCCAACCTTCACACAGGCATAGGTGATCAGGATGTGCCGAAGGTCGTGAGGGCCGATGTAGCCCACAGGTCGCACCGATGACGACTCGCCGACCTGGTGATGAAGCCACCATGCTGTCTTGTCTACTGCTTTCGCGAAAGTATGCGCTGATATATCCCGCAGTTCAAGGCCTGCATCTGAAGGATTGGCAATCGAGAAAACGATTTGGTCCGGTTGATTTCTGGCGAGTTGGTCCATGATCTGGGGTATGAGCCGGCGACCATAAGCTGGCTCACTTCCAATGCCCTTCATGTGTGGCGTCTCTGGAAGTTTTGTGTTGGGAGAAAAGTACGACGGAGAGTGTGATGAACGTGGGGGAGATGTCCCAAAGGATGTCGGTGGCGTCGACATGCCACTGACGATAGACGTCGCACTGGGCGAGGAATAGCCACTTCGGGTACCATTGAAGGGCGCCCGAGCTTGTAGATAGCTGGCGTTTGCCTCAGTGATCCACGCCATATCAGATTCCTGCAGTCTTTTCTCTTTAAAGTGGCTGGGGTGTCCGTTCTTGTGAATGAGCTCGAGCCGCGAGTCCTTTCGGAACTCACCTGCAGGTGCGCTCACCCAGTCTCCGTTGGCCAGCAAGGCCACACTGCAATGCCATGGCGTTGTGTAACCTGTTTTCGTGTCCAGCAGACTAATCGATATCTTGTGATCGCCAATCGATTCGTGTATCGAGAGTCTAAGGTGATGAGGGTACGCTTCTTTAACAGCTCCAGCATATGCCTATCCATATTGTCAGTTTACAGAGAGGTAAAATCATTGGGCAAATGGATTGTCGGAGAACTTACATATCCTCTGTATAGCATCTGTTTCGCGAGATACTTGACGTCTCTCTTATACTGATTGCTGCCGCGATTCTCTCCGAGCGCGAATATGTGCTTCAGATCAGACTCAAGAAACTTGCGGTAACCGAGATAAGTCAATCTCGTGTCTGCATGTTCTCTGATCTCCTTGTCGATATCGATATCAGGACTCTCATACTTGTTGAGAAGTAGGCGTCTGAAGTTCGTGCAATTGGCGACATATGTTATCTCTCGCAGCTTGTCTGGCAGGTCTGGGAAATCGAGTATGTCTTTCAGTCGAGAGAAGGCGATGTATGTGAATTTCTTTTCCGTCGACATCCGACGCAGAGCCTCGCCATAAGCCCATGTCTCACGATCTGATATCGAGAGAAGATCTAATACTCGTTAGTCTAGGTCATGACTGTTGACAGTGAGTTTACGTACCATTATAGGTTATGCCATCTGAGATGATAGTGACTCTCGCTCCGGGCTTGTAGACATCCTTTATCCTTGCGCACATGTGGTTCAGCCGTTGAAGCGCTAGTTCTTCCGCCTTATCTGGTAGAGATCCGAGCACTTTGTAAACCTTGTTGGCCGACTTGAAAGGAAAGGCCGGTAAACATGTCTCGACACGTTCGCCTGCTTGGACGAAGCGGTCGATCACGGTAAGGAATTTCACCGTCCCCGCAGCTAGGCGCTCTTTCGAATCATCGAACTTGTTGAGAGCATGCTCATATATGATTTCGAGAATCTTGTTCGATGTGTCTTCCGTGCCGGAAGGAACGCTGGCAACCGCCGAATCATCGCATGGCAGCGTTATCCCAAGTCCAGCGGGGTTGTTGCTAGTCAAGCCGTTTAGACGCATCGTTATGTCGTCCAGGACTAGTGAGACATGGGAGGGATTGCAACGTTGGGATGATGAGTGAAACTTTGCTCGAGTCCAGATGTCAACTCTATAAAGCTGCTGGAATCTAGATGGCTCAGGCACGGTCACTTCAGCAGGTGAGAAACAAGTGCCATACGTATTATCGGGTCAAGCCAGCGCTGACTGAAATCACGAAGTGACTGTAATGCCGGGAACGGTACTCGAATAGAAGCAGAGCATCGACATTGCAGGGGTGGCTGAGGTAATATGAGGTTGTTCGGGGCGAGACAACTTTTACGGAGTTGCCTCATTCCAGGTGACATACAGTCAGCGCGTAGTCCGATTCATGGCAGCGGCAGCCTGCTTAGCTCTTAGAGGGCAACTGTTCCACTGACGCAGTCGAAGCTTGCGAGACCAGCTGGGATCCGAGACTTTACAGTTAGCAACCAATGCGTATCGGCCAAGCCATTCCGCTTCAAGGTAGTGTCTTCGAAAGAGTCGTGATCCATGCGCCGTTCCATGTGCAAGCGGAGACTAGAATGTGGAATGAGTGAGGTCGAACTGTGACGGGAAAGTAAGCAGAGGCTAAGTTGGAACCAACACGGGCCAAGGACCATGTGATAGTTAGCGTTCGCGCCACTGTGAAACCTACTTGTCGTGTTCCATAGCCAAGACGTCTTCCCGTCGCGCACTCGCGCAGCCACGTACTTGGCTGTATACGCAAACATGCTCATCCTTTGATCGTGGTCAACAACAGATGCTGCGAGTTCGGGCAGTGCCTCGTAGGTGACGGAATGTTCAATGTGGTTCCCACATTTGTGTGCGTGAAAAGCCACGTTGTCCAGATGCTAACGGATTCGACAGCAACTCGACTTTCCCCGTCATTGACGTACTTCAGTATGCGTACCGTCACGGAAGGCGTTCGTTCAGTCAAATCCACAGCCCAGTCGTTCTGCTCGTGGCCCCTAGCTGGCCAGAACCAACAAGGGTAAATAGCCGCTCACCGCTGGAAGCCTCCTTGATCGAAGAAAGGCACACCAAGCAGCATTCCAATGCTTATGCGATGTCACAATATACCGCCTTCAGCCGCACCTCGACGATACGCATGTATGCCGAGGATGACTTGATTTGAGGAATATTTCGGAGCCAAGAAGAGCGGGTAAGCATTGTAGCAGCGCGGGCTGACTATGGTATCTGGAACTCTTATGATCAGATCATCCCATGCTGACAACATCCAGACTGCGTGCCAATCTTCGTACTATCCTTTCATGCGATTGATCGTTACTACCGCCACAGCCTCGGTGCTGGAATGAATCATACCATAGATCGTCCCCACTCGAGCTCAGAAAGTAGGCGCGACCGGGGTTTCGATGAGGGTGGCTGTTTGTTGGTCACGGAATATGTCTCCGAATAAGGTTAAGGACGAGGATGTTTGCACGACTATGATGCTCCAAGCCGCAAGATCCGTTGCTGGACTTTACTCATAAGGGCAGTTGCTAATCGAAACGTGCTCACAGAAAACGTGCTCATTCGCAAATATGCTCATCGAAAGACGCGCTTGTTCAAGTAGGGGGTTGACACGGCAGGACGCCTGATATGGAAGAAATCGTTGACTTTCAAAGAACGCGTGGGATGGACTGCATCGCGTGTAGTGAGAGCCTGGTGCGTGGGACGTTGGCGTTGCGTCGGAACGACGCCCGCAGCGGCGGATAATATGCCCTGCCGCCTGGTACGCCCTGTGATGTGGAGCGGGCCGTTAGCACCCTTGACCTCACCTCGGTTGGAGAATTCTATCCGCGACTCATGCTTACTGTCAGCACAACACCTCAACAATCGCCGCAAGAGTCCAGTACATTTACGCAAGCAAAGCCATGTCTAAATGTGTCTCGCTAACGAACCTTCACCGGCCATCATGTCCGAGTCTTCGGCCTACCCGTACCCGTACTCGCAGGCCGCCGAGCTAGACCCGCGCATTACAATCCCCAGGCCGCCTATCGACCCTAAGTTAGCACCCATCATCGACTCAGTCATCCTACCAGAAGAGTTGGATATCTCCTTCCTCCGTGGTTTAGATGTTGGGGGAAGTCCAGAGCCGATCCTGAACGCCAATCCGCACCTGACGCATACTCACCATGTCATCACTAGCCCTAGTGGTCACAGCATTGCCTTATCTATTTTCGCGCCACTGGATTCGTCTAGCGCGCTACCAGCCTTGTTTAACATCCATGGAGGCGGTATGATCTCAGGCGATCGCTTCAGCGCCGTCGCACAACTAATAGATGTCGTCCAAGACATACCGTGCATCGTCGTCTCAGTCGAATACCGGCTTGCGCCCGAGACGCCCGCACCAGGAGGAGCTGAAGACTGCTATGAAGCACTCGTCTGGCTCTCCACAAACGCCATGAGCCTAGGCATCGATCCTGCAGCTATAGTCGTCTGCGGGTCCTCTGGGGGTGCCCCTCTCGCTGCCTCCGCCTGCCTCTTAGCCCGCGATAGGAAAGTTCCTATTGTGCCTATCAAGGCGCAGATGTTACTCTCGCCTATGCTAGATGATCGATGCGACAGCGTCTCGGACGCACAATTCGAATACGGCGTGCCATGGAACGGCATCACAAACCGCGCGGCCTGGAACCACGCCCTTGCAGGTCAGCGCGGCACCAATACAGTCACCATGTACCAAGCGCCCTCCCGAGCTACAGATCTGACCAACTTACCTCAGGCTTACATCGACGCGGCTGAATGCGAGGTCTTCCGTGATCCGGCTGTCGCATATGCGTTGAATATGTGGCGGTGCGGAAGCTCATGCGAGTTACATGTTTGGCCAGGTGGAACGCATTTGTTCGATGCTGTTGATAATCCTGGGGTGCCTGTTGTTGGAGCTGCAATTGCGGCGAAAAAGGGTTGGTTGAGCAGGATGCTGGTTACTCTTAGGACTGATGGGAGCACGGCATGAGCTGCTCTGTTGGTGGCATGCCGTGTATCGAGACTGATGTGACGGGTCGCTTAGATGCCATCCATTCAGAATCACCAAACTACGCTTCTAAATCATGTACGATAGGTCCAAGTCATCCAATGGAACTGCACCAACTGAGCTGGTTCAAGAGGCACTGTGTTGCTCTGTTTCGCGCAGTCCTCGTAACGAGCTTTCCTCCTCATAAAAGAGATGAATCGTTACTAATCCTTATATATTTCACCATACCGTCCCAGCTTGGTAGCATAAGCCGACCTATGCACACCATATACATCCAATTCTCCCCCACATTGCGGCTATAGATTGTGCGATACAAGTTGCCATCATGTAACAGACTTACCGCTATACAATCTCAAAACGCTTTTTCGGCTACCCTGCATATATCGCTAGTCCGCTTGCTTAACATAGCCGTACAATAACGCATTTAAGATTCCGTGCGAAGTAAGAAGATGTGCACGCTCCGAATTGTGATCTTGCTCCATGACTACATCAATACACCGGTGAGCCATTGTAAGCATCTCTCGTTTGCACATCGTTTGTCCCAGCCGTGGGGATCAGATGTCAGAATTTCGAGTGGGCGAGATGATATCTTGGCAGTGTTGGGCGACTAACCCGATGCGTGACAATGGCCTCAGCCTTCTGCGCGAATCAGGCTGCCTAGTCTATACTTATGCCCTTGTAGGCTCTTCTCCGCGCGTGCGCATGTAGGCCACCAACTGCCATGTAGCTTCTCGGGTTTATCTTACGCCAAGATCACTTGTCTTAGTCTACCCGCTGTACATGTACAACTTAATTGCGTCAAATTGAGCGAATTGAGCGAATTGATAGTATGCGCTAAAATGACTGCGCGTCGCGCCTGGAACAAAAGTAGATTGGCGCAGGATATTGATCATGCGGGAGATGAATGACCGAATGCTGGCACGGAGACGTCGTCTCGACTTGCGCATTACGCGATCTCGTCTTGCAGGAATGACTACTCAGTGGGTAGGTAACAGTTTCCTCAAAACTGTTCCGGGGGGTCGAACGTGACTTTTCATTCCTCTGCTACATTTCAAGGTTTAATTGACCCTATCACTTTCCCTCAGAAATGAACGCCACCCTCAACGGCCTTCCTGAAGCTCTCCATAAAACTTTCCACAAGCTTTGCCCCTACCACTCCCTCTTGCCAACTCCACCCCACACTCAATACACCATCGTTCCCCATCACAACACTCGTTGTGATCCCAGCGCCGAAGCCAACGGCACTACGACTGAAGGTCATGCGTCCGATACGGCACCGATCTTCACAAGCACTATCAGGAACGTCAAAGGACGGGGAAGACGCTGGTGGGAAGCGGCCAAGGTTCGAGATCTCGAATGCCGCATCGCGGGGCGTGTTGACCATAGACTTGAAGACCGCAGCTATGTCGTGTATACCTTTGAATGCAGCGATTGAAGTATATGGCTCACCACTCGGACTCTTGGTACCCATGTAACCTTTAATTGATTCTGCTGTATGACGCGCGGCCACGATTCCGCGTGTAGCTCTTGTGTGTTCATCGCTGTCGGTCGGGAAGGAGTAATGCTCGCGACGGATCTGTACTTTCAATGCATCGATGAAACTGCCCATTGCTTCGTTCGCGGGGCTGCAGTTATGGTGGAGGCTGAGCCATGGACGAAGGTTGATCGGTATAATACCTGTGAGGGCCTGAACAGTATCTGGAAGCTGCTCGAACAACGCGCCGGCCAATACGGCGGTTAAGCCGGACGTAACTGTGAGACCATTCTCTTTGCACTTTTGCGCAAACTTTGCTGAAGCTGTTGGTGAGAAGAAGGTTGTTCGGTAATGCGACGTCATTGGTAATTGGATGGGGTTTCCTGTCCACTCTTCCAGCTCCTCACCCGACGAGCGGTGATGAGGTGGGTTTGGATTCAATGGCAGTGGATGCAGATCTTCTAGTGGCGGCAGAAGAGTCGAACTTTCAGACACCCGTATTGTCGAGCTGTTTGGTTCCAGAGACGGTAGCATGAGAGCACTCTTGAGTGCCTGGTGGAACGATTGGTGAAATATGACTCCCGTTGCGCCATCGCCAAGACTATGATGAAAGACAAAGGATGCGGTGAAACCACACCTCTTCTCCTCAACAGCATCTTGCAAGATAGTCAGTCGCCAGAAAGGCAGGGCACCACGGGAAGGCTTGAAGTCAGTATTGTGTTCTTCCTGGAGAATTGTGTCGAGCTCATGGTCTTGGTTGCTCTGTCCGATCGAGCTAGCTCGAGTCTTGAAAATTACGCAGGAACGAAGATCGAGAGACTGCAAACGAACGAAGTTGGCGCCTGGAAATACTTCGTCTATCGGGATGGCGGATAGGATGGAGTTCCTGTGAATGACACGTGACAATGCGGCGTAGATGATTGACTGCAGCTCGGGGAGAGTAGTAACAGTAGTGAGAGAGTAGTGAGCAGATACTCCCACATTTATGAAGGATCCTAGTTCGTGAGAAACAGCGGAAAGCTGTTCGGATTTTCCTAAGCATGGTAAGCTTTGGTGGGGGGTTATGCCTGCCGCATAGACGCTTCGTACCCAATAACCGTAGCACGGGAAGCCCGCGCACACTATCCATGGTCTTTAGACTGTTGACGGTTTCCTTTGTGTAGATAACTGTAAAGAGACGGGGACTGGAAACTTAGGTTTTGACAACACCTTGGCTACCGGGAAGTCCAGAAGGTAGTAGATATACCGCCCTCTAGCGCATTGCAGTCTAGGTTAGCAAATATCTGTATTCATTTTAAGCATCAAGAGAAAAGAAGCTTATTAGGGAAACAATACTTTAAGAGAATAGACAGGACAACAATTACAATTAGACCTGATGGCTCGGAAGACAGTAAGACGTACGGCATAGTGTCACTTGACTGCCTTTTCTGGTTAGTCGTTCTACTGAATAGTAAGATCCACGCTGCTGCACAATGCTTAGCGGCAGCCGACATGGATCCCTAGAACGATAAGGCCGATTGGTAAATCATGCGGTTAGGTAAGGTCCAGGACGAGCCGTCCTACATAAGCGCGTCAGCCCTGCATTCGGTACCCCCACAGTTGTGACTAGCAAGGTGCAGGGCCTCAAGCCATAATCATCGCAAAAGTGCTCTCTAACCCGACACTAGTCTCAGAACATGTCAGATCCTTTCTCACGCCCGGTGAGCATTCGATAAATCCTTAGCGCAATTGTGCCAGGTTTTTTTTTGCTTGCTCAGCTGTTGTCGATTCGGTATCTAGGTGTCAGCCGCTATGGGACCCTCGCTTAACAATGGTCTCACCTTGATACAGTTGTACATTCGTCTCTCACGGCGCTGTATGAGATAAGACAGAAAGAGACAGCACACACCACCACCGTTGTCACCCTCTCGACTATCTCTCGATCGCCATCTGCTGCTATGCATTCTTCTCGTCCATCCATCCAAGAACCTTTACTTTCACCAACCCTGTTCTCATCTACCGATGCAGAGGACCTCAGATGCACTACCCAAATACACCCTGGGTGTAGTCCAATAAGTCCACCAATAGACCATGGGCGTCGAGTGGTCGACTCCCACCCAGGTGTTCAAGCAATGGAAGCGACAACACAAGCATGGTCAAATTCCTCTCTTATAGCAATTTACATAATGATTTGGCTCATCTACTTTGTCGAAACATTGCTTGCCGGCATCACGTTAGCCTTGGTTCCATACGTCACATCAGCCTTTTCCATGCACGCTTTCACACCCACTGTTAGCATACTAAGCAATATCCTCGGCGGTGCCATCACACTATCTATCGCGAAGATCATCGATATCTTTGGGCGACCGCATGGCTTGCTATTCTGCCTTGTCGCAGGATCAAGCGGGTTGGTCATGATGATGGTGTGTGACGGCATAGGCACGTATGCTGCGGCCATGGTCTTTCATACCTTGGGAAACAATGGTGTGCAGTATATCTTGTCTGTTCTCATTGCCGATACAACGAAGTTAGAGAACAGAGCGCTGGTGCAGGCGCTCATGAACTCAACTAGCCTGATTACAGGCTGGGTAGCTGGCCCTTTGGCGCAAGCATATCTTCGCGGCATGGGATGGCGTTGGGCATTTGGTTCATTCAGTGCACTTGTTCCGCTTGTCACGCTGCCGCTGCTGGGTTTACTTGTGGCGAACTATCGAAAGGCGAGGAAACTGGGACTTATCAAAGTCACAAAAGAGGACCGTGAGTGGAATCCTTGGGAGTTGATGGTATACTACAGTCGGGAGTTCAATGCTGTTGGCTTGGTGCTCGCTTCTACAGGAATCGCCCTTTTTCTTCTTCCGTTTAACTTGTATGCTTTGACGGGCAAAGTTTGGTCTTCGCCGCTCACAGTTGGCGTGATCCTGATCGGCGTTCTACTTCTATCGGCATTCGCTGTATGGGAGAAGTCTTTCGCATCTACCCGGTGCCTTCCATACAGGCTATTCTTGGACCGAACCGTCTTTGGGGCATGCTTACTATGCACTTGTCTTTTCGCAAGTTACGCCGTATGGAACAGCTACTTCGGCTCTTACCTGCAAGTTGTTCAGGGACTCAGCGTGGAGGAAGCGAGTTACGTTGCGCAGCTGTACACCGTTGTGAGTGTACTAATCGCCGTCTCAACTGGATACGTGATCCATCGAGCCGGCCATTTCAAGACCATATCATTAGTCGTCGGTGTCCCGCTAAGTCTATTGGGTCAGGGCTTCATGATGTACTTTCGCGCATCCAGTAACGTCGGATATATCATCATGTGCTTCCTGTTCATTTCAATCTCGCAAGGCGTTCTCGTTGTCACGGACGAGATTGCTATGCTAGCTGCTGGTTCGCACGAACATGTCGCTGCGATGCTCGCAATCGTAAGTATCTTTGGGAACATCGGTGGCGCTATCGGTATGACAATTGCGGCATCCATATGGTCTAACACAGTGCCGGATCGACTGGTGCGATACCTACCTTCTGAAGACCTACCGAACCTCAACAAGATCTTCGGCGACATAACGACTCAAATATCTTACCCTATGAAATCTCTAACACGCCTTGCTATCCAGCATGCGTACGAAGATGCGATGCTTCGACTTCTCATAGCTAGTACTGCGATCTCGGTTGTAGGGGTTATCGGACCATTGATGTGGAGGAACATCAATGTCAAAGAAGTCGAGCAGAACAAAGCCTATGTTTGATAGGTATCCAGGTTTACGCGTATGAAGAACAGATATATCTACACAGTGCTAGTCGCGATCTTTGAACTCGTAGCCAGCGTCGGCGCACAGCTCTGAAATTACTTTATTCAAAAATCCTATTTATGGAATGAGTAAAGCCTGTCTCTGATCCTGCCTGCATCAAGATCCTGGGCGATTGTAATAAATCAGCATGGTTGACCAAACTCGAGCGTCGTCCGATAAGCTATGCAGCAGGCGCACATCGCTTGCCTAGATCACCTTTTTATCTCCGATCTTGCCAACGTAGTCACCTGGGCCTGAAATCTCGCAATCTGAGTTGGGCAACAGCTGCAAGAGATCTTTGTGAAACAATATCTTGTGGCAAATCGGACAATCATCGGGGATCTCGCGCGAGTCCTTCCACCATAGCGAAGTTGGAACAGGTACCGACGGAGGAACAGTCGTGTATTCAGTGCAACAGTGCTCGCACATCTTGCGGCTGATAATTGGTAACAGTCTCGATAGAATAGTGCCGCTTAAACGATCGCTTTCTTCGTCTTCTGCATCGCTGTCGTCGCCTGTAGCGTCATCCGGGCTATGCGCCAAGAATCGATCCAATGACTCGATTCTGAAGGATGATTGTTTCGGATTCTTTTTGTGTACCGAGATGTGCGCATCTACGAAGTACTGCTCCCGATATGTCTCTGACTGTTCGGGCTCTTTCTCAGTGCCGTGTTGTCTCATGTACTCTGAATAGACTCGGCTCAACTCTGCACCCAGCATACTATCCAGATGTCGCTCGTTGCGCTCTTGCAAGTCGCGCTTGGCCTTTAGCATCTTGGCTAGCCTATCCTCACGTTCTTTCTTCAACTTCGAGACAGTGTCCTGGGTATCTGGCGAGCCTTCCGGAGTGTGGAACGTGTATGGACTAAGATGCAGGAACGGAAGGTCGTAGCTGGGAAGTGGTTGTGCGATGGGCAAGTTATTCCATATACCAGAACCTCATAGAGAGATCCTAAAATTCGGGTATGATGACGATTAGAATCCAGTACTGTCGCGTTCTCTAGAAGCATGATCTTCCGACATCTTGAAATCTTTTCTGTTCGGCGACGCAGCTCCTGGAAAACAGAGCTCCAATGGCGACCTACAAGGTTGTTAGTACAGATTTGGAATGCAAGGACGACGCGCCATGGTTCCAGTTATAGCTTTGCTCATCAAAGGGCGTGATGCGCTGCCTTTTCTTGGTTCACATAGGTAGCAGAGCGACAGACGTTACCACTGATTCATCCGATCCAACCGAATGTAGGTAGCAAAGCATAAAAACGTACTGTAAGGAAGTCAGCTGATCGTCTCATACGTATTCTTATTATCTGATTTACCCAAAGAGTTCATTCAATGATTCTCGCCTGGTATGGAGCATCTCAGTGAAAGCCACCGCATTGCCATTTGTCTTCAGTGCCCTTGACTCCTGCAGATAAGAGTGTAACCGCTGACCCAACTGGTAGCCTCTAGATCCTGGACCGAAGGCAAGAGGTTCGAGAGTAATGGTCGAAGTCCCATGAACTGCAAAGGTGGCAAGCATGCACTTGTTGCCGAACGTATGCCTGCACTTGAGACGGACGGGCTGCTCTGAGTTATCGAAACCAGGGTCGGCTGCCTCGCCATAGGGTTTCCAACAAATGGGACACTTCTTGCTATCTTCGTCGACACTCTCGATTGGTACAGGCATTAGGTAGTCCAAAAAGGCTTGCTGAGTGGCGAATGTGTCTGTATCAGGTTGAGGCGGTGCGTAACGCGCTTTCTTATCACTTTTGCTCGGAAAAGCGCTTGGTATGCTTGCGAGGTTAAGTTCGACCGCGCTGATGGTGCAACTAGGGCATGGACATTGCGATCCTGGAGCATTTGAAGGTGGCGTGGCCATAACGCACGGCTGTAGGACGATGTAGCGAGCACTTGGTCGAACTGTACCAGCGTATGCAAACGTTTGTTAGAGGAACGTAAGAGGAGTTTTTCAACACCGTTAAGAGAAGTGGAGATTGCTAGGTGAAGGCGCAAACGACGCTCCCGTGCAGCCTGATCGTGGTCAGTTCGTGAACCGACTATACACAACCCAGAACGAGTTAGGCTAACTTATAAACCAGAAGCCACAATCGTCTCCTGATGAGGTACACTTGATGATGGAAAGAGTGAGACTCGTGATGCTACGCGTGATTAACGAGGCTGGGTGAAGGCAGAGCGATGTCGCACCATCCATACACGAAGGTGCGGCTGTGCCAAGTCTCGCTACCTAGCCATGCGTATGTTGGTGGGCAGTGATTGGGTCAGCGACCCTACATTATCGCATTGTTGCGCTTGCTTTATGCTTACTATCTTTCGATTCGTCGAATCGATCTACAGGGCATTATGTGGTGTCCACACAGACTCCTCTAGCAGGGTGCGGCTTGGCAAAGCACGTGATACATACTTTCACATTTCCTAATACTGCTGCACTGTTCATTGTTCTACTTGCGCGTTCTGACTAATGACTAAGGTGAAAATGTTTGCAGCGATCCTATCCGTGAGTGATTCTATTTATCGCGTGTGATTCCTAGTCAACCTTGTCATACACTTGCTCCTTCAGGTATTCGTTCATGTCATCAATTTGTTTCTTAGTGAGCTCGCTTCCTGGTAGCAGTTTCCTTATGCCCGCGGCCCAAAGCAGATCAGAAGGGGTGATATAGATGTCGATATTCGCTTGGACATTCTCGCGCATTTGAATGAGATGGCTGTTCCTCCATTCGACCGCTCGTCCATCGGTCCACTTGTAGAAGCCATAAACAGTGTTGTCGAACACGTCTGTAGCGAAACCTGACATGAGCATGCTCTCAACACGCTTCCTGAAGCTGGCAGCCATTTTATCGGTCACGTCTTGGCGTATTTTCTCCAGCTTCTGGTCGAGAATCGTTGCCAACTCCGCATTCCATTCCTTCTGCTTTTCCTCTCCCTTCTCGTGTATGTACACGATGATAGTAAACAAGGTGCTTGCTATGATTCCAGGAAGGTTTGCAATGGCACCTTTAGCCAGAGTGGTGCTGAGGAGAACGAACTGCTTTCCTAGGCTTCGTGCAAGGTTGCCGTCGGCCTTGCTCTCATGCTCCTTTTGAACGGCCATGCCAATGATTTCGTACGTTCCATCTTGTGCATAATGAGCGACCTTTTCCAGAAGATTGGAGGCGGCCCCAAATGCATCAGGGGTAGTGACGGCATTGATTTTCTTTATGGCTCCTCCAATCACGGTCTTGGCCAGGGCCGGGAAGTTACTGGCTTCAGTGAAGTCTTTGACAATGCTAGCTCGATTCCAGGTGCGAGGAAGGAGATAGATTCCTGTGTCTTTGTTCAGAAATGCCTGCACGTCCTCCTGGAGGTTCAGTTTCTGGACGGTTGCTTCCTGTGCCGCTATCTGCTGTCGTTTTTGCTCGTTATATACCACAACTTGCAGCGGGCGCGAGTTTGCGGATGCCATGGTAGTAAGGGCGGAGAGAGGTAATAATATGGGACAAGGCTGTGCTACAAGCTTAGCATATGAAAATAGCTGATAATAGGATATAGTAGTGTACTGTGAGTGCACTCGAACATATGAAGGAGTCTGATGTTGTGAGGGGAGTATTTATACAGTGCGGACATGCTGTCGTGCAGCTCTCATGGGACATTCTAGACTAGCCGATGCGGCAATGCGTTCGCCTGAGCGACTAAACCTTTGACAGAAACGAAGATGGCCAACTGAGTGCAGAGCTTTTTCGTTAGTTTGGTACTTCGGCCTACCGTTACCTCCCTATGCGCGTGCAGCATGGCGACCTAACATTCTCTCACCGAGCCAATCTGACCTCGAACTGTACGAATCCATGCACCTCCGTCTGGTGGCTGGATTAGGATAACGAAAGCTGTGCGTTAAATTGTGACAAGGTGCTGACTTTGGCAGCCCGAAGAGAGACCGCGCATGCAATGTGATTGATCCTGGCTGCATAGAAATGGTTCATTGGACGGGTTTTAGCTAGATAAACAGAAGCTAATGCAGGAGACACGAACTGTTACCTGATATCACAGAAACGGCGGGTCATAGGGTGGGTATTCCCAAAACATGGATGACGCTCAGCTTAGGACGACCGAACATGGCTTTGGTCAAAGCCCAGTTCAACGTCAATAACCTAATCGTGACGAATCAGTGATGCTAAGAGGTCGCTTAAATAACGTAATCTAGCCGCATCGGCCCGTGTTACTTGAAGTGGGGTTGAGGGCGGGTTGAACTCAGCTGGCGTCACACCCGCCACCGCAGCCAGCCACATTCTCCCGAACGGTAGCACCGACGGCTCATCCCAAAGGGGTAGCTAGGAAAGCAGATAAGGTAATGCGAGCTACAAATGGTCTGATCGGTTCCTAATCTCAGAACTGCGAGTTCAGAATTGGCTCGGGCTTTTATCGTTTCTGTAGCCAGCCAAACCATAAGCGAACTTCGCGCAGTGGCGCTCTACGAGTAGGAAGCGCCTTGGCCGCAAACGTATCTCCGAAAGTCCCCGTGAGAAATATGTCTGCGATAAACTATTCAAGGAGGGATTAGCAGTAGATCTGCTCGTGACCTATCGACGTGGATCCTGCAATCAGTCATTATGCGAGAGCAATTGTCTAGCAGTCCTTCGCTTTCTCCATGCCATCTTTGCTGCGGCTCCGCATACATTGCCACTGCCAGGTTAGCTACACAATAAAGAGGCTTCTCTTAGCTTTGCGAATGTGGAACAGGCGCAATTAGGATGGGTATCTAGAGGAGAGCGCCTCTTCATAAGCGCTCGGCGATGCCTAAGACTTGCAAGTCTAGCCAGCCACGTTGAAGCCAACAATGAAGCCACGAGACAAATTCGGTCTGGATGGTAGAGCTAGAGCCCCTAAAAAGGATATCAGTGTTTATCGCTCTCCTGGACGATGAGGGCCATGCTTCGAGAGCACGACCTATGGATTGCAGGACCTCATGATATAAAGATCGAGCCGAATCCGCCCGCTTGACCTCACCCTCAAGCCTTCACCAAGTCTATGAGACTGGCTTCAGCATCAGTATCAAACTCTATAACATCTCCACTACCAAGCTCGACTGCACGTCCTGAAGCTCCAGCTGCAACAACCAGGACATCAAGACCTCCTCCTCCTCGGATACCAAGACCCTGTCGCTGCGATCTCTTTGCTCCTGCAGGCTTTACCTCAGGGATGTCGGCTCCTCGCAGTTCCGCTCAATCCCGCCGGACCAATCCAGTCGCTGGTCAGGGCAATACTAGATCAGGTAATCAAGGTTCTGGGCAAGCACCGACTACACAAGCGAATGGTCAAGACCTTGCACCTGCTCATACCGAAGATGATGTAGCGCTCACCGACGACAACGAAGATCACGCCGAGGAGTCGGTCAATGGTGCAGACCCAGAGTCTGTTGGAAATGGTATGGTTCTCTTGGATGAGGTTGTACACCACGTTGTGTTTGCTGATCGATACATAGGGAATGGAGCCTATGCTGCTCCAGACACAAATGGCTCTGCTGCCAATTCTGGATCAAGCGATGACACTTCCTGGTTTAAGCGATCTTGTAAAGAAGTCGTCGTCCCAATCCCTAAAGGAAAACTTACCCCGGGAGATACCACAGGCGCTCTCGCCAACAAGGGCATTTCTACCGAAATTAGTCGGGATAAGCTCCACGTCGTCTTCTCTGATCAAGACCTCATCTGGGATGGTACTCCGCAAGTCCTTTCCTACTGGTTTATCGAAGGCACGCCCAAGCAGAAATTCAAAGTCCGCGAAGCCATTGATGAATGGACTTGGTACGCCAATGTCACCTTCGAAGAGGCAGCTTCTATCCAGGACAGCAACATTCGTATCACGTTCGACCCGAACGATGGAAGTTGGGCATACATTGGCAAACAATGCGAAAAGATTGGCCCCAATGAACCTACCATGAATTTAGCATGGCTCGACAAGTTCTCGCCCATCACTTCGAACGAGAGAGCTACAATCCTCCACGAGTTCGGACATGTACTTGGTCTTCTTCACGAACATCAATCGCCTGCTCATGGTGGCCAAGCGATTCGCAATCTACAGGCAGCTATAAGTCTCTACACCAAGACTCAAGGATGGTCTGTTCAGCAAGTCTATGACCAAGTTATCAACGTTTACGCCATGAATGAAGTATCGAACTTTTCACAGGTCGACACTTTCTCCATCATGCACTATCCTCAGCCTAAAGAAATCACTGGTTTAGCCCAGGATATTCCATACAACACAAAGCTAACTGATCTCGACAAAGCTTATATAATCTTACAGTATCCTCGTAAGTCTTGTATGCACTGTGCAAAGATAGGGAGCTGACCGATCCAGGCAAGGAGATGCATCCAAGAGCTGCCAAGGATGGCTGGAATTTCGAAAAGGCTCTCAACGTTATTGGTGCTCCTAAGGATGTTAAGGCTCGAGTTCTTCAGAGCTTCTACAAAAACAAAGACCCCGAGTCTGGCGAAATTGATCCTCAGGATTCTAGACTCATCATTGAGCAATGGACTCGCAGTGCACATCTGAATACTGGAGTCAATGGAGTGCCTAATGGAGTCCCTGCGAAGCTCCAGATTGCTCATGACGTAAAGCATGGGGTCGCTAATGATGAGCTCCCACGGAGGGCACATGCGGATCTCCCGCCGCCTCCGACCATTGGCAACGCTGATGTAGGCGACAGTACATTTATCAAGAAGCTGTATGACCAGCTTAGCAAACTTTACAACCCTGGAGGTATGTTGCGTTCCTAGTCTCTCATTCCGTCGTTGACGCTAACGACTTGACAGGAGCACAATACTTCGCACTCCAGTTTCCAACACGATTTCTCGATAAGCAGACCTATGCTTACAAACTGAACGGCTACTTCTCTCGCATGGAGAAGCCAGTTGTGGTCAATGAAGCTGAGTTTGCTCTGACTGACGCTCTCTATGATATTGCACCTATTGTCGGTGGTCCAAATGGTCAGACACTATCTCGGAACTATGAAAAGGCTTTGAACAGTCTCATTCCAACATTCGAGGACAAAGAAGTCAGGAAGCAACGTGAGAAGATGCGAGCCTGGTTGATGAAGACGACAAAGGCTGGCAACGCCGCATACACAGTCGATACTCGGCTGAGTCTTCCCGGCATCTCCGCTCAAACGGCCAAAGAACTATCCGACACCAATGGCATGGTGATAACTCCAGCTAGCGGAGAACCAGCACTGGTAGACCAAGAGTCGGCTAAACAAATCGCACAACAAGCCATCAACAATATTAAGAGTCTTAACCGTGATCGTCCAAGAGCAATGACGCGTATGGAGTACTCCGAGTCTTTAATGCAAGCTTATCTCAACGAGCGGAGGGATTGGGAACTGAGAAAGGACGCCAAGTTCAGAGAAGCCTCGGAGGCCGCAGCTTCAGATCCATCAAAGATGGAAGCCCTGACGAGAGAGCTTGCTCATACCTCGGCTATTGAGGAAGCCAAAATCGCAGCCAAATATTCAGACGCCGTTGTCAGAGGTTATACACACACAGTGCGTGGATTCATGGGTCATCTCGACATCAAGACCACAGGTGAATCTCTGCAGGACGCGAAGGACGCATTCCGACAGTCGGCCCTTTCTTCCGTGTATACAGCTTCTTCAGTCTGGCCCGTAGCTATGCAGCCAACGGATTGGTTCGAAGCGCTCGACACAGGCTTCACCCGTGAAGACTTATCGCAAGACTCTGCTCTCATCGAGGCAGCTGTCAAGGCCAAAGCTCAACTCATCGACACTCTGGAGACCCAGATGGCCAATTTACGTGGTTTCAACAAGGGCGACCCAGCTGAGGCCAAGCAGAAGATGATTGATGCTGCAGCTGCAAGAGAAGAAGCAATGGCTAAGCTTCAACAGAAATATACTGCCTCGACTATATCTGCAGTCAAACTAGCCCTCGAAGTTGCTGCACTCGCAAATCCTACTACTGCGGCTCTCCAAACTGCCAAGAGTGGTCTTGAATTTCTAAACAAGGGACCGGATACGGGTGATAGCAACGAAGTTAGGGAATCCAAGAAGACTGTCGCCGACCTATTCAGGGGCGATAGCACTGTTCTAACAGATATCGGAAATCAAATGGATGATGTCTCTCGAGCGAACACAGCGGTCAATCAAGCTTCTCGAGTCCTGACAGAGCATATGAGTCAGTATTCTGAGGCCGTTGCTGGTGACACCAGGAACCTCGTCGATGCTTTGCAGAGGCAGGTAACGAGTGCTAAAGCAGAACTTGCGGAACTTCAGGAGAGCTACACCATCTCTAAGAGAGCTTCTCCATCAGCAAGTGCTGATCTGGAGAAGAGCAGTGCAGAAGTTGGCAAGCTTCCACAGAACAACGGGGGATCTCGCTGGTCTGAGGTTCAAATTTCTTCGGTGGTCTCGAACGACTATTCCGCCACTTCGTCTAGCAGTTCCTCATCGGTCAGCAGCTA